GAGTTCAAGTCCAGTTAAGTGGAAAGAAACCGGGGCCTCTCGCCCTGCCTCTAATTGCACTGCGCTGCCGCTTGCCCGGCTCGCTGCACTCCCCCGCACACTCATCTCTCTCTCGATTACAGCCAGGTAATTGACAAGCACTTGGTAGAACCTGTAAAAATAGCATCTGGAGAACTGAGGGACAGTGGCCGCCGCGTCCAGGTTGGTGCCGCTCCAGAAAAGTCTTCCTGCCAACGCCACCACGGCAAGACCCTCGTTTGACCACTTCATCAACCTGCCTCCTTTCCCCGCCCAACTCAGAGTGCCTCTGGCAGATGTGGCCGGCGTGTTAAATGTGAATGCCCAGAGTCGGGGTCATGGCATTGTCTGAACGAAAATGCTGGATTACTAATGAAAATAAAGTGCCTGGCTGTGGATTGTTCCATTTTTGCAAAACCTTCAAACGCACCGACACATCCTCTCAAGGTCGTTCAGTGCCAGACCGGACAGCAAGCGGTCACCGACTAGCACCTTGTACACCCACACCCACCGCGGGATAAAGGCCTGGACTTAGGTCAGACGAAAAGTACTTCAAAAGAGAAGCCAATACTCTCACACTCATTTTCAAAGACACTCCTGATCCCACATCACCCCTAGCGATGACGGCCCTCCTAGGCCCTGGTCGGCAGATGTCCTGAACCTCCACCAAGGGGCGAGGGGGCAGCCGGGGTTCCAGTGACTAATGGTGGGAAATGAGTCACCATGTCTTTAACGTCCCCACGTGACTCTCTGCCCCCTTGGATCGGGACACGCTGGGCGCTGCTGGCACAGGGGGATGGCGGCGGCTCCGAGGCTGGCTGGCGCCCCTGCCCGCCTCGCTCAGTAGTCACGGACTTCGCCACGCAGGCCCCTGAACATTCTCTCTGAACCGAGACCAGAACCCCTTCAACAGAAACACCCCTAAAAAGCACGAGACACAGCGACAAAGCCAGCCTGACTGGGTAGTGACGTCTGCCCCACGGGCTCGCCCTGGCAGTTGTTCTGCCTGCAGAACGCTGGGGACCCTGGACAGAGGGGCACCGGCCCCCTCTCTGGCGGGCTCCAGAGGTCTGTAACTTGCTTAGGCACTTAAAAAAAACATGAACAGAAAGTTTATCCTCAGAAGATGCACGCCCAAGTGGCCACGGCCGTGGGGGTAGAGGGAGCCCATGGGGAGTCAGAGAAGGCTGTGGGCTCTTCCAGGAGAGGCAACTACGATGTCGTGGGAGGGATAGAGGGAGGGACAGAGTCCCTCCTGCAGCCTGGGTGAACCTGAAGCAGCGGCTGGCCCAGCGGGCCTCTCCCTTGGGGCTCTGCAGAACAGGCCAACGTCGGGGCGGCCTGCCCCGGATGCGCAGCTGGGGGCGAAGCGTGGGCTGCACGGACTTGGCTCTGTCTCACGGGGTGAGGATCCCTGGGAAAGGCAGAGGACCGAGGCGGGGGTGTCTGGTAGGACCAGCGAGCAGTGGAGAGGCTTTGTCGAGCTGGAAGGCCTGACGGGGGGCGCCCCCACCCCTTGTAACTTTGGTTTCGGAGTCGCGGCGCCCGTATCCAGGATTGAGATGTGGTTTTCAAGGTAAATGCCCAACAGCAATGCTCTCGAAAGGCGCCCACAGCAGCACTCTCACCCCTGTTCAGTCCACTCTGCCACCGTGTGCACTGCCCCCTACCCCCGCCCATGAATCTGGCACAGAGTCCAACGTGAGTCCACTTGAGTGGCTGCTGCTTGCATTAATACGGCAGTAATGTCGCTTTGTTTCCAGTTTAATAGCTTCCATGAATAACGAAGTGGAAAGATGACCCTCACAAGTTCACGCTGAGCTCTCAGTGCCAGCAGGGCAGACCGAGAGGGAGAGGTTGCTGAGCTCCAATGAGCTGGAGCCAGAGCCTTGGCCTGGGAGTGCCAGGAAGTTGAAATGGGCTCTAAGGCAAGGATGGTTTTGCGACGTCCTGGCTGCCGAGAGCCAAGGGCTCCTTCTGAGGGAGGAGTTCCTGTCTCCATCCCAAAACTGCAGTGGCACCCAAATGCCACCAGAGACAGATGCCAAATCTGGATCAACACCCGAGTGGCAAGCACGCTACCTCCCTCCCCTCATGGTAACAGGGTGGCCTTTTCTGGGGGGGGGCGGGGGGGCGGGGTAGCAGACAGTCAAAACCTCCTTAGCTAATGGAACAGGGTGCCCTTCAGTCCCAGGGAGCTGACCTGGTGGCCCTTTGCAGGGCCACCCCAGCGTGCTCCTGGGGTGGTTTCCACTCTTGCACTTGGTGGACACCCAGGGCAGAGCAGATCAGAAGAGGGAGACAGAGCCAGCCCCTGAGAACCACTTAGGGAATGACCTGGGCAGTTGGGGGTGGGGAGAAACACGGGCCTGTAGTCAGTGAGTCCTCAGGTCAGCCTGGAGCCCGTGTTCCTGGAAACAGCCACAAGAGCCCTGAGGCAGCCTGGCCTTTTGCTGGAGGTGGCTATTGGAAAGCTTTTATGCGGAGCCAAAGTCTGGGTGAGTCCGCACGGCCTGCTACTGGCTGGTCCGAGAGCCCAGGGCCAACACCGACCCACACAGCATCGGATCCCAAGTTCGCCAGAGCTCTGGCCAAGCCCACTGCCCCTCTGGACTGTGATGGAAGGGACAGCAGCAGGAGCTGGAATGCTGAGCAGAACACCTTAGACAAGCAGGGTGCCTACAAGTAACAGGCACAAAGAAATCACCAGAAGAGCTGAAGAGAGAAAATGGGAAGTGAGAAAGAACTTAATCTTCTCTGCCTCAACTAACGGGAGCTACACCCAAGCGAGCTGGTCAATTCCAGTCCCCTTCAGAGGTCAGACTACAGGCCAGCCTTCCCAGGAAAAGGCAAGGCAAGACCTTTAGATTTGCCTCCTGGAGACGGAGGACTGTGACTTGAAACCTGTCACTGCTTTCCTGTCACTGTCCCTGAGAGGCCGGGGTTGGGGGTGGGGTGCTCTGCGTTGCCTAGATCGCCACAGTGTCAGGGTCTGCTGTTGGAGGGCATTAATGCAGACAGGTGGCAGCAGTGCAGTGGTGGGGACCTTCCAGTCTGTCCCCAGAGTGAGAGACAGGTTACATGCAGGGGTTTTACTCAGAGCAGTGGCGGGTGGGCTGTGCTGTCCGTTCTTTGGTTAACGTACTGCTAAGACGAAAGAGAACAGCTCGAGGTTTCACCGGACTCCGCGAAAGTGGCACAGCTCAAGGCAGGGCTGGTGAGTCTCCGAGCATCAGCGAGGCAAGGCAAACCCCGGCACAGCGCTGGGCGCAGAGATCACGTTCCAGGAGCGCCGGTGCTCTGGGAGGCCTGGGTGTCTGCCTCCTGTAATGCCAGGGTCTAGGACGGCCCCTCTACTCTAGTTTCTCTTAAGAACAACTCACTTACGGTCTTTTCTCCCCCAAAAATATGTGTTTCATAAATAAGCACCACCTATATTTTCACTGATTTTGGTGAGTTGGCTTCCTTTTGTTTTTCGAGTGGGGGCTGCCAATGGTCAAGGAGCACGGGTGCATGGTCCTCGAGTCGCTGGTGGCCTCTGGGAAGGGAAGTGCCTCGCCAGCGCCAGGCCCTTCTAAGGAGCACGTCCCTTAGGCAGCACGTCTGAAACGCCGATCCCTCAAATAGTCGACTGTAAGGTTTTCCCTGTAGTGATCATCCCATTTCCTTTGAACGTGAGCAGATAATTGGAATGTTCGGCTGGCTGTTTGAATGCATGTCTCAAATCAGAGTTGTCCTCATCTAGTCAGTTTTCAGGACCACCAATCACAAGACAGATTCTCACTTGCAAGAGCACATTATCTTTTACCAGCTGGGGAAAGGAGGATGGGATACTCTTTGGGGTCATAAATCCACCACCTTTCCCACGGTCAACAGACAGGAGCCCCCTGAAAAGTTCCTGTGACCTCCCACATACTGAGTGCGGGGTGAGGGGCTGACAGTCGCTTTTAAATCTTACAGGGAGAGAAGCAATGAGTAAAACCTTTCATGGCCTTGTTTTTCCTGATCCAGCTCAACTATAGGTATTTCAAGGGGGAGCAAACAAAACCCAAAGCAAAACTTTCCCCTAAACTTTGTGTTTGGGGGTGGGGGGTGGCAGCCAACTGCAGCATTTTCATGAAACTAAAGCTTAGTTAGCATCTGGGTTAGGTTCCTCCTGGTGTGTGCAGAGGGGGAAAGATTTGTAGAAGAATGAGCAGCAAAATATGAACAAAAAGCAAGAGGCAAATTTTCTTCAGTCGTCCCTAACCTCCCTGGGGAAGGAGGCAGCTGGCCAGGGGCCACAGGCCCCATGCGGCGTCCTGATGTCTGTGCAGACTCACTCTTGACCTCACACCTGCATGAAGACGTCCGCGAGTGACGGCAAAGAGCCAGTGCGGCGTGTCCCAGAGAAGGGCGAGGTGGCAAGGCAGCGGCTCCGGCCCAGCATGAGGCCTCTTAGGGGGCCGGGTGGACGGAAGAGGGAGGGAGGCGGTGGGGGGCGCGAGGATCTGGATGGGCTGCATGGGCCATCCCTTGGACAGCGCCGCAGTGTGGGACGAGTTCAGGACGGTGGCAGGCTGCTCACGTGGGCACGCTGGTAACGCTAAGTGACGTGGGGACACCTGGGTGGCACGTACACATGCCCTCTTGCTCCAGTGACTTTCAGACATTGCAAACATCAGGGTTCCATTCATACTTCCTAGTTGTCGAAGGCCCATGTGTCAGTCTCTGTGTGTCACACGATCCAATGAGGAAATCCCTATTTGAGCTGTGAGCGGACACCTCTTTGATAAGTACTTCCTGGTGGTAATGGCAATGGAGATGTAACCATGGGAAAATGTCAAACTCCAGGCGCTTGTGAAGTAGTAGATGGCTGTAAGTCAGGCCAGCATGACACCCCAGCGGGCTGGCAAGTGGGGCGGCATGGCCGGGAGCCTCACTCACCGGTGCCCCCCCCCGCCCCGCTGCAGGGGTGGCGGGGGGGGGGGGCAGGCTGGGAAGGGCGTGGGGCGGGGTTCCGACACTTCAGAAGTTAGGTGGGGCACACGACGGAAAGCTCCTGTTCTGAGGCTGAGGCCACTTCAACCCCGTCTCTCCCGCTCGGGAGGGGACACAAACACCCTGTCATTGTCGCAGTCTGTTGAGCTGCTCCTCCAGACGTTCTGGGGAGCATTCGTGCTAAAGGGAACAGGGGACGGGAGAGCTGCCATTTTCAGTCATATAAAGGACTGAAACCCCTTTAATTATGGCCATGCCAATCTATATCTCGCTAAAACAGCTAATTACATGTCAGGAGGACACTCAGTCATTCAGAACAATTGTCGTCGTATTTTTATATACTCCGTGCCACCCCCTCAATCACCATGGTTACAGTTTGAAAGGGTTCAGGCAGACCTGCACTCGATCACAGCACACCATTGTGAGTGTGAGCGCTAGCCGTGGCTGTACAGAGCCACTTTTTTAGAGAGACAAGATGAAAACGCAGTGTATGGAGTGACAGCTGAGCTGTGCACATGCCCTGCTCTGGTCAGCAAGTGGCGGCCTGATGACAGTGCACACTCGGCTGCTGTCTCACACTGGACGGGAGGGAACAACAGAGAAGCAAATAGATGTGAAAACTTCCCAGATAAAACAGACGTAGGGAGGGGCAGGCATAGCACCCCGCAGCAGAGCCCTTCCCTGTGTCCCTGGGGAGCTGGCCAGCGCGACGAGGGTGTGAGGTGCAGTGGAAAACACTCAGGGGTGGGAGGGTGCTGGGCAGCTTTCGCTCGAACGGCAGCCACTGGGTTAGTCTGTTCACTGCCTGGCCCCGTGTCGCAGGAAGGAGGACGAAAATGGAGCCCGGGAACCTGTGTGTTTGCAACCCCACGTGTCTGTGGCCCCTCGAGCTTCCTGGGTGGCGACAAGAAGGGGATGTGAGAGCTTTGGGTGCAGTGACATTTCCCCTCTCCCCTCTCTGTTCCTTCCCCCCTCGATGAACAAAAGAAAACCGATGTCATGGGAGCTGGACCTCTCAGGTCGTTTGCTTTCTTTGTGTTGTTGTTCCTCACTCCTGCCAAGGAAGAACAGCGATGCTGATAGGGAGCCTTCTCAATTTATAAACTTCCAGCTTTTGAATGTGCCTGGACATGAACGAAGCTGCCCCTCAGAGACCCTCTGAGCCAGCCCTGAGCCACGGGGACGGCAAGAGCAGCGGCCTGTCCCTTTCAGCTGACCAGCAGGGAACTAAAAACAGCCTTCCCGACCTGACCTGTTTGCGAGAGGGGCTTCCGTACTTGGTGAACAGACTCTGAGGCCTGGTGTATTAACAAGCCTTTCCCACCACCTTAGCGTGGCAGCTCTCCCGAGAGCGGTAAGGACATCTCTCCTCATGAGTGGTGGTCATCGTTCAACAAGACCGCGGTGCAAAGGAAAAGGCCTCCGCTTCGACGGCACGCCCCCCAGAACACCCTCTAGGATGTCCTGGCCATTCACAGGTGCCTCCCAGAACCCCTTCCAGCCTCACTGTGGTGGGACACCTTTCAGGTGGCCTACGTGGGCACTGCCAGGTGACATGCACTAGACACATGGAAATTAAGAAACAGTGGAAGGGTTTCAGGGCATGCAGCTGTTTGCCAAATGCAGTATGGCTGACTACTGATCCCCAAATCCTGAGTAAGCATCCTTGCTATTCAGGGAGCACAGAGAAGGAATGTATTATGTGGTGAATTCCCCGCCCCACTCCCACTCGACACCCCACACACACACCCCCAGCTGGAGCCGGCCAGTGGGCCCAGCCGTCCCTTGGGAAATCCCAACAGACAAACCCGGCTCAGTACGGCTACACACGGGTCTGGCCAGTCTCAACGCAGCCCCAGCAGACGCAGCAGTGAGACTTTGCCAACACTCACAACCGCCAAGTGACAAAACCCACCACCACTCTGACAGGGTTTCAATCACACTCCTTTAGAGATCAACACAGAAAACTCACGCTGTACAGGGTCAGGACTAGCCAATGGAGAGTGCCGCTGAGCACAGGATCGCCAACAACAAGAAAGATTATTGCCTAAGGACCTGCGGAGAATCCCTGGGGAGACGCTCTGGTGGTTCTGCAACAAGGATGACAGGACGGCGGCAACGGAAAGGCAGGGCTGTGGGTGAGATGGGGAACCGCTTCTGATGAGACCCTTAAGACCAGAGAGAGAGTAAGGACTTGAAGTTCACATTTTTAGGAGAAGGGTGGGAGGTCATTTATGAAAAAGGGGTCATTTCCACTGTTAGGGGCAGAAATAACGTAGCTGGTCAGTGGAATATGTAGCTGGTCAAAAAAACAGGCTGTGGAACAGGAAGGAGTGTTTGTGTGAGGAGAGTGAGCAAAACACACTCCAGCAAAGGACGCGGTTCGAGGGGAGGCCCTGGTGGGGGGGCCCAAGGGAGTGGGAGGTGCTGGTCACGGAGGGAGAGGGTGTGACTGCAGGTCCCCGATGGAGGGGACGAGAGTCAGTCTGCACTTGGGCCTGACAGCTGAACTCCAAGAAGGAAGGTCACAGCAACAAAGGCCGAACAGGGAGAAATGGAACAGCTGTATCTGAGAGCTCAAGTAGCCCCTTTGAGGTAAAAAATTATTTGGGTATCTGGACCCAGTACAGCTCCTGCTGCTCGCTGGACTGCCGGCCGTCACCATCCGGGGAGCTGGAGTACAGCATCTGCACACTTCAGCATTTACCACTTCCTTAGTCACATTGTTTTAGGCGGTCACCTCTACTGAGCGAAAGTAAAAGGTATCCTTAAGGGGTCTTCCCGTTTCTGTGAAGGAATCTGGAAATGTGAGGGCAGGGGCTGTCCCCCAGAGGTGACAGTGCGTGGGAACTGTACAGATTTGGTAGGCAGATGGAAGGTAACCACACTTCACTACCACCTAAGGGACTGAGGTCGTAGAGAACGGGGCCCCCAGGGGTATTCTGGCACGGCGGACCTGGCGGAAACAAGCAGGAGTGTCTACCTGGTGCTGGGACACCGGGAGGCCCCGGGGCAGACTGCACGGTGCTGCTCTCTCCCTGGCCTTCAGCGCTAGAGAGACGGAGGGAGAGGCAGACATTTCATCAGGATGGTCCATCTTTAAAAGGTCCTTTTGTAAGGCTGTGCTTTAAGAAGGGCAGGAAAGGAAGGAAGTATACCCATGTGACCACACTAATTTAATGAAGTCTTAGAAAACGCAGCAGACAAGTTACCACCGCTGGCAAGGCCCCGCCCCCTGCCCCTGTGGTCTTCCTCGCTCAGGAGGAACAGCATGTGGTGAAGAGAGAGGAGAGAGACAGAACGACCAAAAAACACAGCAGGGGGCTTTTTAGAGCCTGGCCCTTTTCCCTTCAGTAAGAGAGCAGTTTGGGGTTTCTCATTTTAATCTCTCTCAAACCTAAAAAAGCTTAAGGAAAAAAATGGCCATCCAATGATATTTCAAATTAGTGGCAACTCCATATGCCATTATAACAGCTAAGGTAACCTGGACAAGATAGTGGAACTGAACCTGGAAACAAACAAAAAAACAATGGTAGTTTTAAATACAGGCCCCAGAGAACTGAAAGTCTACTCTCAGTGAAAAAGCAGGAGCTGTACAGAAGGCAGTGAGTCTGAGGAGGCAGCTTGAATCACAGAACCCGGGGAACGACCCCTCCCTCCACCTCACGCTCAGACTCAGCAGGACGCTCTTCCCCTCCCTCCAGCAGACAGCCAGGGTCCGGGGCTGCCCGCTGCAGCACGCTCACTCCCCTTTGTTCTCTGGGGGTTTCTCCCTTCTCTAAAGGTCTCAAAACAATGAAACCTTTTAGCTCTTCTCTAGCAATCATTGTAGTTCTTTAGAAACTGCAGCTGTCTTAACAGTTTGAGTCTGTTTCTTTAAAAAGACCAGCAAGAACACATGATACTAGCAATCCCATCATAAAGAAGCTATCAATTATAATAATCTCCTTACAATAATAAATCACGGATGTGGCTTGTCAGACAGTGTATTTTTCTCTCTCCTTTTCTTTCTGATTCAGCCTAGAATGAGCCCACAAAATTCCACCAAGATGGAAAGATACAATGTTGTATTTCTTCTAAGTAGTGTAAAAGGAAAGAGAGAGAACACAATCTCCTAGTGGAAATAAGTCAGACACACCAGGAAAGAAAATGACTGGGAGGCCATTCCTGAGAATAACAAATGCTACTCTTGAATTTGTTGGTTCAAGTAATTCAGTAAAACAGAAAAGGCTACTTCATTCTACTTCAGTTCTTGGGAGCTGCAAAAGTATATACACTTTCCCTCTGAAATCACGGACAAGGGCAGGCCTGGCCCTGCAGACAGCTCTTTCGAGCCACAGACACACCCACAGGGGCATCTCCACGCCCTCCAAAAGGCCCCGCACACTGACGCTCACGCTGACGCTGACGAAGCAGGGCCGGCAGCCACGGAGCCGTCTCGTCAGCCTGTGCCTGCAGTGGAGTCCAGCCAGCCGAAAACTGGCGGAAAACTTTCTTGTCTCACTAACAAGAAAGAAAAGTGAAGAAGGTCAGTAAGTCTCACCCTCTCTCAAAGGTTTTAAGTTGAACACAATTCAGGGGAGGCGGCCAGGAAAGGTGCCTTCCTTCTATCTTAAAAACCTTCAGGTAACGCGCGGGGAAGACTGAAGCTGCATCACAGCCAGCCCCAGGGCCCCCTCAACAAGGCTCCACCGCGCAGAAAGGCGGAAACCGCACAGCAGTCCTGCTGTTTCAGACACACCCTAGGCTGCTTCCCTCACCCACAGCGACAGTGTGTCATTTAATTGCGATGCCGAGAGAGAATTTCCATACAAGGCCGGCAGATGTAATTTTCTCTGATGCATGAACAGTTCATCATTTTGCTGCTGGATGACAAGGTGATCACAGGGTGACTTTATAACGCAAGTTCACTGTTTGGTATTTTGAGTTCTCAAAATGAAAAAAAGATTTATCAAATATAAATATCTCTAAAAAAGTAACAAAAGTGCTACATATGTGATCAAGGAAAAAAATTACATTAGTTACTGCTGCTTAAAGTAGATTAAACTTTACAAATATTACCACATCCATTATCAATATGGCTTCCAATTATTAAATAAATTGCCTGTAGCAATATAGCTTTTCACACCTCTACAAGGACAGAGTAAAAAGAACACCAAAGCAGTCACATCCCGTCATATCTCACAGACCTACCACATAAGTGGCAAATGCCCGTTTTTTCTGCTCCTGTTGAGGAAGTATTTGCATTTGTGATAGTCAGTCAGCAAAATCCCACTATGAAGTCCTCCACAACCTCTGCTACTGAGGGGGTTTCAGTTAATGGATACAAAGACTGAAAGTTCGTTCACTCATTTTTGACCTTAGCTTCATCCTTGAAAGACTTCTGCTGGCGGCAGGGACAGGGGACACAGACAGGAGGAGGCAAAGCAGCTTGCGGGAGGCCCTGTGGCACTCACCACGACGGGCAGCGACTCCGCGGGCCGGACTCGGTGCCTTGACCCACGCAGCCCGGCTTTCCTCCACTGCCTCTCAAGCCAGGGTGTGTTTTTTAAGTGACTTCTATTTGTGTCTTTTGCTGTTTGTTTTAATTGTGGTCCCAAAGGCAGAAGGCAGTAGGCAGTATTTTATCTACTAAGCTGCACAGCTTGTGAGAGGAATGGATGTCTGTGTCAGGCATGTTAACGTCAACCAAAATCTGAGATCCAGTTTTTCCACGGACACTCTTAGCACAGCACCCAAAGAAGTGTGATCTAGCCACAGCGTGACTATGACGAGGCACGGCTTATTGCAGCTGGAAACCAGTTATTCCCACTCAGAGGTGGGGGCGCTAGTGTTTCTTCTACTCTGCGGACACTGCCCGAACGGGGTCTGTCAGTCCCGGGCCACACCCCTTCAGCTTGCACCCTGTCAGTCCCGAGGAAGGAAAGGGGTACAGACTAGTGTTACAGGAATCTGAAGGTACCCAAGGTTTCACACACAGCCTAATATTTGAGAACTGAGGGCTATCTAAATACCTGGAAGCACTTTCTTGGAATGCTAAGACAGAGCAGCAAGATTTTCTAGCCTCAGGGGCTGGGAGAGGAAGTCTGGTCGGTCGGTTGCTTATTACTTACTGGGAGTTAATACTGAGAGAGTATATGCGAAGGCTGAGGGCACCATGCCATCTTCACAGAACAAGAAGACCCTAACGGCTAACTGACATACAAGAAACTGCAAGTTATACTGTAAGAACACATGTTAAGGACCAAGGAAAGTCTGCTAAGGTGCTACGTCTAAACTAAGTTAACGCCTCATGTCCACCCCTCCCTGGTCAGTCATCATCCAGGGCCTCTGTCTTGATTTCGTTGGCTCCTTGTCGAGCCAAGGCCAAGATAGTGTGGTTGACTGCTGCCATTTCCACAGCTAAGGAGATGGGGTCCTGGTGGTCACTATGGCTAGTGTTGTCGTCCTAGACGTGCAGAGACAAGAAACAAATGTTAGCGACTGGCGCCATTCTCTGGCTCACAGAAAGGCATGCTGGGGCGAGGGGAGGCAGAACATCTGGTGGGGCGGTGGGGGAGGAGCTCGCGATAGAGTGGGGGCGAGATGTATTTAAGCAGACACTGGATGGATGTATGCCCAGATACTTCTGGTTGACCGTCTTATGATTCAACAAATAAGCAGCACCGAAATGTTTTTTCTTGCTGAGAATTTTATTCTTTCTTTCAGAAAGATTGCTGGTGACGATAATCCCACCTAGCTCATTCTAGTTTTGCAAAAAATAGAGCACGAGTCAGTGAAGGCCACACTTGTGGGCTATTCAATTCTGTAACTGGTGCTCTTACAAACAGGTAATTACACTTCACGGTGTCTCCACTGAACTGAGAAAACTAGACAAAATGCTAGACAGACACCAATATTGTACAGATAAAAATGCACTTTTGTTTAAAACAAACAAACAAACAAACAAACACCAAAAAAGAACCACCTCTCAATTACAACAGGGCAACCGTGTGACTGCCGAAACAGCTGTGGGAGAAACTGGGCGTGCTCTGGGCAGCAAGGAGCCGAAGTGGCAGCTGTCTCCTTCGGAGGGAGGGCGAAGCTCTCCTTCCACACACAGCTGAGGTGCAAAACAACAGAGCTGAGAAGGAAGCTGGACTTGCAGGATGTTCCTAGGGCCCTGAAGACAGTGTTACACACAAGGGGTAACTTTCTCACCTGTCACATCCTCAGGGGACTCCGCACCAGAAAACTTTGGAAAGGTACGTGTGTGTGTGTGTGTGTGTGTGTGTGTGTGTGTGAGAGAGAGAGAGAGAGAGAGAGAGAGAGAGAGAGAGAGGGAGGGAGAGGGACAGAGAGGGAGAGAGAGGGAGGGAGAGAGGGAGAGAGGGAGAGAGAGGGAGAGAGAGGGAGAGAGAGGGAGAGAGAGGGAGAGAGAGGGAGAGAGAGGGAGAGAGAGGGAGAGAGAGGGAGAGAGAGGGAGGGAGAGAGAGAGAGAGAGAACATGGGAAGTGCTGCCTTTGGGGCATCTGGGGAAAAATGGAAATGACCCGGCTACGTGGGTAGATCGAAAGTAACAGGGATGTTTCCAATTAGAAACATGCCCAGAACAGTCTGGAGTGAAATGAGGAGCTACGATCTGGAGCCCCAAAGAGAAAAAGGTGACCTGTGGGAAGTATGGGCGTGTGGTCTCTTGTTTGCGTGGACTGGCCGCAGGGCTGCAGAGAGTCACCCTAGGACTGCTGGCCAAACAGTGTCTGCGCAGGAGGCACTGAACAGGAGGGCCTGCAGTGTCTGCGCTCACGCTGGGAAGCAGGGCTGTTAGGTGAACGGCAGGAGGGAAACAGAGTGGACTGTATTTAAGAGCTGGCTGAGGAGCAAGGAATGGGGGTATTGCCATAGGAAAGTTTCCTTTCTGGGGTCCAGGAGAAGAGACCATATTCCAAATGGATATTAATTTTAAATCCTATAAAAATTTTAATGAAATCTAGACAATAAATATGTGCCTAGATATGTGTGTGTGTGTGTGGGGGGGGCATTCCCCCAGATTCTTAGTGCGTTTTTCCATCCAGTGGCTACAATTAAATGCATCCCCCCCCACCCCCGAGCAATGAAGACTATGTCAGGGTGAGGTGAGAAGACATGCACGTATGAGAGGACGTGTGTGCCATGTGCCAGAGACTCTGGAAGAACCACTCATGTCAGCACCAGGGTCCCACGGCAGGGGCCGCAGTGGGTGGGTCTCCCACCGTGTGCTGCGCTGGTGCACATTGAGGCGTGGGGTACAGCTACCCAGCGCCCCTAGTATTTCTCAAACATTGAGTGTGTGTGTGGTGAATGGTGTAACTTGCTTGTTTGGATCAGATCCTCCTCTCTTCTTCTACCTTCTCTGCTTCTCTGCCTCCCTCTGAACTTCTTCCCTCCTCCTCCTCCCCATTGCGTACTTGCCAAGTATCCTGTTGTATGACAATAAATCCGTGTGGGTGAATAACGACTTCTCACAAATTCAACAGGACAACCGAGTCTTACCACACCCCTTCCTGATTACATGAAAATCTAAGCAGACACACGAGAACAGTGGAGGGACGTCAGATCGTCTCCTCTCCCCCACCCCACACCAAGTGCACCCGCGGAACTGAGCTGTCACACTGTCCCACCCGCTCGTAGCCGTAGCTGAGAACTCTGCCCGGCTGCTCACCTGCTCTGAGTAGTCATTCCCGTCGACGTCGTCGCTGTTCGAGTGGCCTCCTGGACTCTGCACGTCTATCCCATGACTCTCCAGGATTGCTGCTTCTTCGAAAAAAGCAAATGGATCCCTAAATTATCTGTTATTTCAACACAATGGCCTGAGTGCCGAATTAATTTCTGTGTTGAGGAATCAGGACATCCCTCAACAAGAACCTAGATTTCCCCATGTTTTGTTTCCTTCACACTGCAGAGGGAAGGAAACCAGCTGCACATGGGTCAGGGAGGAACACGCCTGCCATTCAGTCCAGAGCCACTGCTGCTGTGTGTGCGCAGCAGTCCGAGTGGTCGACTGTTAGGTGCTTTGTAAATACTTACCAACCAGTGACACAGACCTCCTGTCCTGGGGTTCTAAAAGCGTTCGAGATTTGTGATGATGAAGGCGGAAGTACGTTTATGCACAAAATACAGATTTAGAAGCTCAAAACCAATCCCCCACTCCAGCCTCATCCATTCACATTTCTTAAATGCTTTCACTCTTTTTAAAACAAATCTCTGCCTTTTGCTATGCTCCCTCTCTACTACAATTCTTTCATTCTAATTCTAACCATCATTCTAATCCTAACAATATTAAGATGTTTCTAAATATTGAGTCATAGCCCAGTAATAACAAAGAAGCTTAGGGTATCACATAACCTCTCTTGCAAGTGTCTTTAATACGCACCACAGGATCTCTGCTCAGACCATGCCTAACTCTAGATTCTAGAACACTTAAGAACATTGAGTTTCAGAAATAAAAATGCCATTATTTTTATAACACAAATAGTTTAAATAAGACTATCTGTGGGCTGTTAAAAATACAATGAAGAAAAACATAACGACAATTCTGACTAGGCTTAGAATTTAGGATAACTGAGACCCGTGGTTGTAAACTGAAGTCACTCTTAACAATAAACACCACATCGGCAGCTGCATGAGTGGAGACAGCAGCCTCTCTGATACATTACCGATGTTGGCTCTTCTCTTGATCTCCTTCCGCCTGTTAGCAAACCAATTATATACTTTCAGGGAGGTAACGCGTTCCAGATCTGACAGTTTTTTGCCTGTAAATGCATACAATAAAATTCAGATCATCTATATCTGAGACTAGTTTTAAGGAATAATACTTTTTAAAAAGTTCTTTTGATTGCATTTATTGCTGGAATGACAGATACAGGGGTTTTTTTGTTTGTTTTTGCATTACCTAGTACAATGTTTACACTGAAGTTATTACTGAATAAATACACAAATAATGACTAGTAACATAAAATCCTTGAATTCAGAAAGCTACACAATTTAAATAATTTTAATATTAAATACAATCTTAAAGGATTCCACAAAGTCAATTTGCTGGGTTTGAAGTTCGCATGACCGCACAGAGGCTTTGTTTAATGAGCATCATTCTAGATGAATATGCTATTCTTTAGCAAGTTTCCAGGTAGCTGAAGTTTACTTACACCTTTAAGACCTGTATTAACTAGTTTCCTGTCCTAAGATGGAGGATATCCCTCAAGTTTTCTTGGAGACTAACAGCTACTCTAACCATCCATTATTGTAACTATGCTAAAACGCAGCACACACAGGCATTTTAGATTTATTATCTTCTTCGCTGTCAGATGCGACTTCTTATGGATGGCACCATGCTTGCCAACAAGGACCTGCCTGCACCTTTCCCTCCTCCCTGTCCTCTTCCGTTTCAGCTTTTACTCCCCAGTGGGTGGGGAGACCAGAACCAAGGGCCATGTGTTTTCTAGGAGGAGTCAGAGTTCCTACAGCTTTAGTGTGGGGCTTCGGCTAATGTGAGATGAGGGTTTCAGTCTATGGGAGCTGAGTGTACAGGCTCTGGATTGGTAGCAGTCTGGCTTCTGACTAAGGGAAAGTAGATTACTATTTAATTATTATAAAGCATTTATACTTTCATTGATAGCCTTTAAGCCAGTCAAATTTACCAGCCAAATAAAGATCAACTCGGTCACTTTAACTGAAAATGGCTTCTGGTAACAAAATCTGTAAAATGTGGAATATCCAGGCACACGGAAGAAGGGACACGCGTGTTTAAGTGGCTCTGCTGACGTGTGTGGGAACGGCAGGACTCCGGACTGGCATCACCCTGGGTTCTTCCTCCCCAAGCAGGGCCTGTCCCAGTGTGGGAGGGAGACAGATGCCAGCTCCGGAAAGAATTCTTTCTTCAAACAAGATGACAGAACTATACAATTTACAATTGTTTTAAAAAGTCTACCTCAATCTTTTCATTAACAAACCCTGCTTAAGTATTTAAAATTATTTTGGAATTGAGATACTGATGCTTTATTTTGGGGGGAAAATCCAGTCTTTAAAAAAATGTCAAAGTCTCATGACATTAATCAGGGATATTCCCTGGAAACTTCGCCACATGAACGTTTGGTTTGGTGACCATCGTCATGTGCCTGGGAGGTGAGACTGGAACAGGACAGGGCAGTGACTCTCCCCAGAGGCCGGCACAGATAAACCCGAGAGTACCTGGGGGCAAGAGATGGTTCCTGCGTGATGCCTGAAGCCCAGAGCTGCCCACAGAGTGCAGTGGTGCCTGCCGCCTTACCTGGCTTCTGTATAACTGCATTGCAAGCATTCGCAATTTCTTCTCTCTTTGCTTCATCTGGGTATTGATTCTCATTGAAGTAACTGCAGAGGCAACCAATTGAAACACAGAGTTTGTACGTTTTAGAACGTGCTCTCGTTATAACGCTAGCCTACTGGAGCAGATCTCCTTCTTTAGGCTGTCCCATCGTCTGGCCCAGGCTATCCAGGGGCATTTTGGGAGGGGCTGGAAATGGTCTGTTCTGCCATGTCTCATATGGCAGCCACTACCGACATGTGGCTGCTGAACACTTGAAATGAAGCTGTTGTGACTAAGGAAGTGAATTTGTAATTTGATTTAATTTTAGCAAATTTAAATTTAAATAGCTACACGTGACCAGTGGCTACTCTACTGGACAGCATAGCATAGGCCTAGCCACTGCTGTGCTTCATTTAAAAATGTCCTTGATATAAAAGTTACTTGTGATATGCATGGCTGGCTGAAATCACAGAGTTCTGTTATCGAGGCACTGGTGACAATAGGACTTTCTTTGTGTGTTACATTGTTTGTAGTAGCAAAAACTGGAAATTACTCAATTTTCCATCAATGGGAGAATGGCAGGACAAATTATGGGACATCTATATATACACAGCTATTTAACAATGACTAGGGAAAAAAGGAAGTTAGAGCTCTATCCACTGACCTGGAGGGACGTTTCTGACATTCCTAAGAGAGAAAAACAATCTGCAGAATAATGTGATGCAAAAATATCATTATGAAATTTGACAAATGCCTGTCTCTGTGCACATGAATTTACATGGATAAAAGCTGCAAGAGCACACATCAGGCTGTAAATATTCATTCGCTGTGGGGGGGAGGGGTTAGTGGGAGTAGATGTAAACATTTATTTTTGCCTTTTCCCCTATGCTAAACAGTACACTGGTACTTACTACACCTTCTGTGCAGTTAGTACTTGAAAGAAATTAGGCTGACTGAACCCGTCCTTAGCATTATCAGACCTGTGAGGCTGCACGTGAGAACAGAATGCTTACTAGTGCTACTTTTTCTGTCAATTATGAGTTTAAAAAAAATTTTCATATTTCGAACCTGGAAACTTCAATTAGGAAATGATCCTTTGTCAAATTCTAGTACCTCCCATTTCTTCAGGGGCTTCCTTCCTCTCCCTCGAATGCAGCTTCCCCTTTCCTCACTCTCCTGTCTGCACAGGTGGAAACGTCGTTCTCCTGGGAACAAACGCTGGAAGCCCCTAACCCGACCTCTCACACAGTCACCCCTGCCCCAGCCCCTCCATGGGGAGCATCCTTCGCTGCTGTCCCGACATGCAGCCTCTCCTTTCCTAAAATGTAAGGCACACAGCTGTATCACCCCAGACTTTCCAACTACAGTCCTCCACTCGGCCCACCTGCCGTATTCCATGATTTAAGTTTCTCTCCCCACATGACTTTCTGCTATTGTTTTTAGGACCCCAGTGTTCATATTGAGAATGTGTCAAGCCTCTTTCCCCATGACTGCTCCACTTCCACATTTCTACTGGACTTAATATTTACTATACTTCTATTCACCTGGCAAAGGCACACTGGATGAGTTCCATAAACCAGCAGCACTGGCATCACCCAGGAGCTTATTAGAAAGGCAGAATCTCAGATTAAGTAAGAATCTAAATTTTAACAAGATCTCCAGGTGATTTGAACACACATTCATGTTTGAGAAGCACCAGATTAACTCAGTGGTTTAAAATTCAACAGCAAAGACAACAAAAGCAAGTATTAAGCACCTAATATTACGTGCTTGCCCTATAGGTAAAGAAGAGAGTCGGGTATGTTCTGACTTCAAGGAGTTCACAATTTATTGAATACAGAGACATATAAATCAATATACTTGTGGTAAAATTCCACGGGATGTCCAAAGAGAGTGCTGTGGGAACAAGGAGGAAAATGTGCTCAGTGTTTTTTGCAGGAGCCTGGAAAGACTTGGCAGGGAAAGAGCCGCCTGAGTTAGGTCTTGAAGATGGGCAGGAATTTGCAAGGCAGAGAAAAGGAGGAAGAGTATTTCATACAAAGGGAACAGCATGTGCAAAGGCAGAGTAGGTGGAAGTCTCCAGGATTCTGTACATAGAGCGTGGTTAGCATATGGGGTTTACAAGAAGCCTGGAGAACTAGGTTGGGGCCAGTTTGTGACAAGCCTTGTTTGTTCCTTAAGGGTAAAGACTTACACCCTGAAACAGAGGTTTTCAAGCCACAAGAAGTATGTTTCCATCTGTGTTTTGAAAGATAAATGTGTTTTCCAGACACAACCCTCAGAATTCTACCTCCATAATCTTAAATTCTGAAATTCTCCAATCAACTTTCTACTTATCTGCTCCTCCTTTTCAAAATAATTCATGTTCTTTATAATCTTTAGTCCCTAACACCCACTCGACCCCCTGCCCAAAAACTTAAAGAAATCTGTTCATTACTTTTCTAGCCTCAACGCCCACTTTTAGCCTGTACTCCAGGGTGAGCCAAACCAACGATTCCTCTAAGGAGAAACTTTCGTAGCTTAATTAGCTTGTCTGTCCCCCAGCACACCTAGCCAGCCAACCTCCTACCCTGCAGAGAGCACCTTCCACTTGGTCTCCTCCATCCTTCTCTCGGGGCACCCAGTGTTCCTAGACAAAGTCATTAAACAGAACTAATTGGTTTCTTTAAAAATCCATGCTTTTCAACCTTAATGGAATTTCTCATTTCTGCTGAGAAGACTTTTAGTCCTTTTTTTTTATGGTCTTCATAACTTCAGAACTTCGTGCATCATAAATTCTCTGAGTCTCAGTAACATCACCTTATTTGATTCTGAATTAGTCTTTTTAAATTTGTTTTTATTTTTCAATTACAGTTGGCTTACAATATTATATTAGTTTCAGGAGTACAACATAGTGATTAGATGTCTGTATAACTTAAGGAGTGATCACCCTGGTAAGTCTAGTACTCAGCTGAAACCATACATGATTGTTACAGTATGACTGACTATATTCCCTATGCTGTCTATTTTTATAGCTGGAAATTTGTACACTTTAACCCCTTCACCATTTCACCCGTTCTCCCAACCCCTCTCCTATCTGGTAACCATGACTTTGTTCTTTGTGTGTGTTTCCGTTTTGTTTATTTTGTTTTTGAAATTCCACATAGAAGTGAAATCTTGTGATATTTGTCTTTGACTTATTTCACTTAGCACAATACCCTATTAAGTCCATCTATGTTGTCACAAATGGCAAGATTTCATTATTGTTAACAGCTGAGTTAATATTCCATTGTATATATGTACCACATTTTTCTCGATTTGTCCTTAGAAGGGCACTTAAGTTGCTACCATACCTTGGCTATTGTAAATACTGTCTCACTAAGCATAGGGATATACATTTCTTTTTGAATTAGTGTTTTGTGTTTCTTTGCATAAATACCCAGAAGTGGAATTTCTGGGTCATATAGTAGTTCTAGTTTTAATTTTTTGAGGCACCTCCATAATGTTTTCCATAGTGGCTGTACCAATTTACAATCCTACCAACAGTGCATGAGGGTTCCCTTTTCTCCAAATCCTCGCCAACACTTAATGTTTGTTGATATATTGACGGTAGCCATTCTGACAGGTGTGAGATGGTATCTCATTGTGGTTTTAATTTTTATTTCCCTGATGATTAGTGATGTTGAGCCTCTTTTCATGTCTACTGGCCATATGTATGTCCTCTTGGGAGAAATGTCTGTTCAGGTCCTCTGCCCATTTTTCAAATTGGATTGTTTGTTTTTTATAGTGTTAAGTTGTATGAGTTCCTTATAAATTTTGGATATTAAACCTATAGGATGTATCCTTGGCAAAAATCTTTCTCCCATTCAGTGGCTTATCTTTTCATTTTATTGATGGTTTCCTTCACTGTGCAAAATCTCTTCACAGTCTGATGTAGTCCCATTTGCCTTTTTTTTTGTTCCCTTGAGCAAGGAGACATATACAAAAGAAAAAAATTGCCTGGAGCAATTCAAAGTGTTTAATGCTTATGTTTTCTCCTAGGAGTTTTATGGTTTCAGGTCATTTAAGTCTTTAATGCATTTTGAACTTATTCTTGTATGTGGTGTTAAGAAAGTGGTATAGTTCCTTCCTTCTTTCTTTCCTTCTCTCTCTCTCTTTTTTTTTTTTTTGCATTTCCCCACCACCATTTATTGAAGAGACTGTCTTTACCCCAGTGTATATTCTTGCCTCCTCTGTCATAGACTAATTGACCATATGGGCACAGATCTGTTTCTGAGTTCCGCTGATGTATGTCTGTTTTTATGTCAGTATTATTGTTTTGACTACTATAGCTTTGTAGTGTAGTTTGGTATCAACTAGCATGATACCTCCAACTTTGTTCTATTTTCCAAGATTGCTTTGGCTGGTTCCATATACATTTTTAGATTATTTGTTTAATTTTGTGAAAAATGCCATTGGTATTTGGATAGCTATCACATTAAATCTGTAGATTGCTTTGGTCCGTATGGATATTGTTAACAATGTTAATTCTTCCAATCCTTGAGCATGGTATATCCTTTCATTTATTTGTATCTTCTTCCATTTCTTTCTTCTTACAGTTTCAGAGCACAGGTTTTTTACCTCCTTGGTTAAATTTATTCCTAGGTATTCTTTTTGATGCGATTGTAAATGGGATTATTAGTTTCTCCTTTTGATAGTTCATTATTAGTGAACAGTTTCTGAATATTTTATATCCTGCTACTCGACTGAATTCATTTATTATTCTAATAGTTTTTTGGTGGAATCTTCAAGGCTCTCTCTGCATAGTGTCACGTCATCCACAAATAATGATAATTTTATTTCTTCCTCTCCAACTCAGATGCCTTTTTTTTCTTGTTCAATTGCCGTGGCTAGAACTTCCAATATCATGTTGAATTAAAATGTTGACAATGGATATCCTTGTCTTGCTTCCAACATTTTTTCAAAAAGATTTTGTTTATTTTTAGAGGGAGGGGAAGGGAGAAAGAAATGGAGAGAAACATTGATTGGTTGCCTCCTGCATGCTGCCAACTGGGGACTAAACCTGCAACCCAGACATGTTTTAAAA